CAAATGCAGCAGTGATAGTAGACCCCAGGTCGAAAATGAACTACACCACTTGTGGGTGGGGACAGGAGAGAAAAACTAGGAAAGAGCAAAGGAAAGAGTGACATTGTCCAAAAAGAAATGTACTTGTAGCCAGGCACTGGCGGCTCATGTCCTAACTACTCAGAGTCTTGAAAGCTGAGGATTGCAGTTCGAAGCCAGCCCAGGCAAGAAATTCTCCGAGACTCTTATCTCCAATGAACCACCAAAAAAACTAGAAGTGGTACAGAACTAGCCTTGAGTAGAAAAAGCTACAGAAGAGTAGAAAAAGCTACAGAAGAGTAGAAAAAGCTAGCAGAGTGCCAGTGGCTCATGCCGGTAATTCTAGCTACTCAGGAGGCTGAGATCAGAGGCTCACAGTTCAAAGCAGCCAGGGGAAGGAAAGACTGTGAAACTCTTATGTCCAAAGAACCACCAAGAAAACTTGGATGTGACACTGTGGCTCTAAGTGGTAGAGCACTAGCCTTGAGTACAAAAATCTCAGGGACATGAGGCTGAGTTCAACTCCCCCCACACACACCACCAGCAGCAATAAAAAATGTACTCATCACCTGACTTAGGAAACAGTAGCCCCTCTGTACATCACCTTTATAATAAGAATAAAAAAATATTTAATAATCAAGAAGAAGAAAAAAATGGGCTACTGATTGGTATTCCCAGCAATGCAATAGTACTTGCTAGACCCAGCAGATGCAGGGAGGTTATTTTAGTTCTGTTTATTGTTGCATATTGTTGTTGTTTTCTGCCTGCCCTTGATTCTATGAGTCCCCCCCCCATCCCCACTCAAACTCCTTCTGCCAACACAGAAGACCCAAACTGCTGGGACATACTGCCGATCGTACCCAGAGCAAGGCTGTTGAAAATAAATCTCCATCCCGAGTTTCTAGACCATGAACGACAGGTGGACTCCTGGAGGAAATTGTCACACTCTCTCCTTCCTCCTGGCAAACCATGTATAAAGCAGGCTGCGAAGGGGGCTGGAGGAAGAGCGCTAGACTTCATGACTCAGACATAGGGCTGGATGCGAGGTTCAGAATTAAAGAAAGAAATGACGGAACCTTTTGGTCCCAGCCAGACACTAGCTCGGAGGAGGCTCATAGTTGCCTGGGACATCCTTTGGTTGCTCCTGCTGAGTTCTTCCTAGCTAGCTCTGCCTCCATGATTTTGAGGGTTTGGGCCCTTTATCCAAAGCTGATGGTAGGGATGGATGTCAGTAGACCTTGATTCTCCTCAGCCTCATCTCTGTACACGCACTATTCAGGACTTGGCTAACCAACACCCCTTCTACGTTGGCAAGCATCTTCTACCTCTGGGAGGCAGCTACTCTGCCTTCCCATTACAAAATGGATCTTCTGTACCTACCGTTCCCTTGCACCTGTTTTAAGATGTAGGTGTTGATATTGAGGGATGGTGATGCCAAGCAACTGGGAGATGACTGCTGTGGAAAAGCGAGTCTGTTTTCCTCCTGGTTCTCAAAAGGACCCTGGAGATCCACTCAAGACACGGGAGGGTGGATCCAGGAGGGAAGAAGAAGGACATCTCTGGGTCCAGGCTTCTCTTGTGGTGATTGCATGAGAAGGAACATGGTGAGACAGGACAACCAGGCTTGGGATTATCTAGGTGAGGGAATCTCAGGGCTCAAAGGACGAGGACCAATTTCTAGTCCTTTGCTATCTAGATCTGAGCCAGGCAGGTAGATAAGAAGAAAAAGGTGATATACAGAGGGTTACAGAGACACAAGTCAGATAAAGAATACCTTTCTTTTTGGACAATATCACTCCTTCCCTCGCTCTCTCCCAGTTTTTCCCTCCCATCCCCACCCACAAGTTGTAGAGTTCATTTTCCACAGTGTCCAGTGAGTACCACAGCTGCATTTGTTCACCCTTTGTCCCTCCATTTCTGCGCCTCCCTCTTAGCCCTCCCAAAAACGGACAACTAGAGAAACAAGACAAAAAGAAAAGAAAAACAACCTCATTAACCATTTCCTGTAGTTTATTTCAGTAACTATTATTCTATCTGATCAGAGGCTCATAGGCATTGAGACTTGGTGTCCCTCCTCTGAGAGTGACCTCCTTTGGTCTCACCGTGTGTGAATGTCTAGAGTCCTGTATCATTTATCGTGTCCATAACAAGTAGTGTAATTGAAATGACAAATAAAAGACCTCCCAACCAAGAAAAAGCCCAAGACCCAGTGGATTTACAGCCAAATTCTATAAAATATTTTTTTAATTGGACAGTTTAGTCTCTCTATTTCTGGACACAGGTCTAGAGTCCAGTTTGGCCACTACTCTGTGAATGCTGCATTGCAATAAAACTGCCTCATCAGGGTTTCCTGTCAGTGCTGTAAGTGAAGCTTCTGTCCCCGAATGGCTTTGTACATCTCCTGCCGCCTGGCTCACTGTCCTAGGCTCAGGGGCTTTGTGCCGTTTTTCACTGATGAGCATCCATCCAGGAAGTGCCAGGGATACAGCACTGCCTGTAGATGGTCCTGGAAAATAACTCCCAACTCTTCTCATCATACTGCCTCACATGCCGTCTCCCTTAGGATGCAGGTGAAGCCCAGGCCCAGAGTTCAAGCCTCGAGACTGACAAAAAAAATGCAGGTGACGTCTGTAGCTTCTTCAGCCCATTTGGCACTTTCTGTCTCCATCTCTCTAGTTTTCTTTTTCTTTCTTTCTTTCTTTCTTTCTTTCTTTCTTTCTTTCTTTCTTTCTTTCTTTTGTTCTTTCTCTTTCTCTCTCTCTTTCTTTCTTTCTCTCTTTTTTCTTTCTTTCTTTCCCTCCTTTTTGTTTTCTTTCTTCCTTTCTCTTTCCCTTCCTCTTCCTCTTCCCCTTCCCTTCCCTTCCTCTTCCCCTTCTCCTTCCTCTTCCCCTTCATCTTCTTCCCCTTCCCCTTCCCTTCCCTTCCCCTTCCCTTCCTTCTCCTCACCTTGCTTCTCCTCCCCTCCTCTCCCCTTCCCTCCCCTCCCCTCCCCTTCCCTCCCCTCCCCTGCCCTCTCCTTCCCTCCCCTGCCCTCCTCAAATCCTGGGGCTTGAACTCAGGGGTTTGAGCTCTGTCCCTGAGCTTTTTTCCTTCCTTGCTCAAGGCTAGTGCTCTACCACTAGAGCCATAGTTCCACTCTGGCCTTTTTTGACAAGGGCAGGTAGTTAACAGTCTCATAGATTTTCCTGCCCGATCTGGCTTCACACTATGATCCTCAGCTCTCAGCCTCCTAGCTTAGCTAGGATGACAGGCATGACCCACTGGCCCTTCTCTAATTTTTTATGGACCTTACAAAACAATACAAGTGTGTGAGTGTGTGTGTGTAATAAGATGATAATGATGATGATGATGATGATGATTTGCAGTGCTGAGGATCAAATCCAGTATTTTGTACATGCTAGGCACACATTCTACCATTAAGCTACAGTCCCAGTACAGATTTTCAGGCTCGGTGATTGTTTAGCCTGTGTGGGTTTTATTGTCTCCTGTTGCTGTACCACATGGGAAGACCAGGTTGACATCTATGCTTGGCCATTTTGAAGCCTCTGGGCTCTAAGAAGAGCATAAGATGGCACTGGCAGATTAGTTACACTTAAGAACCACCCGGTGAGGCAGAGAGGAGAATGTTGCTAGGCTCTGGTGAAGTCATTGTCTTGGCTGACCTCCTGAGCTGATCCTGAGCCACCTCTCAGGGTGCCCAAAGGGAGGGTATTGGCAGATGGGTTCTGATCACAGGTGAACTCAGTAAAATCCATGCTTAGAACCACAGCTGGAGTCTTTAGCTGTTTGCCTTTGAGTTTTCAGTTCAAATTCTTCCAAGTTTGGAATGTTCTATGACTACCACCAGATTACCAGATTTTTAGACTTTATCTCTCTCTCTCTCTCTCTCTCTCTCTCTCTCTATCTATCTATCTATCTATCTATCTATCTATCTATCTATCTAGTCTGTCTACCTATACATCTTATCTATCATCTACTTTTCTGTCAGTCTATCTACTGTCTATCTATCAATCAATCACTGACCTATCATCTACTATCTATCACATCTGTTTTTCTATCCGTCAACGGACCTATCACCTGTCCACTATCATATTTCTCTATCTATCTTTCTGTGGATCAATTGATTGGCCTATCATCTATCTTTCTATCTCTATATCGATCTACCATCTGTAATTTCTTTTTCTATCACTAGTATCTGATTTGCCCTTTATCTACTGAACCAACTACTGTGTAAACAAGAAATAGGGAGAGAGAAAGAGAGAAAGGAAAAGAAAAGAAAGGAGTGACTCATGGGTATTTGCTTTTTTTTTTTTTTGCCTCTTCTCCCACATCCTGCTGTGGCTTCCGGCTCTTAGGTTCCCCAGACTGACATATCCTCATAACCAGGGGACAAGACACCCAGCAAATGCAGAAATGGCCATGGTGAACTAAATAAAAAAGAAAAGAAAATGTGATAGATCTCCCACAAGCCAGGTAGTCTTCAGTGGATGTTTCTGGAAAGCTTGTATTTATACCTCTCTCAGAAGGAAGTAGAAAGACTCTTCAGTTTCAGTTTCAGCTAGGGGCTCACCTGCCATGATCCCTTTAACGCACCTGTCTGCTTGGTGATGGCTTTTTTTTTGAGGGGGGAAGGCATTTATGTCTATATGGCTATCTCTTTTAAAGTACTTTATTTAGTTTTCCTTCTCAATTAGCACACCCAGACATTGATAGGCATTGCACTCACCTAGATATATATATATATATATATATATATATATATATATATATATATACACACACACGTAGCCATTAAACTGAAATTGCTATTCTCAAGGTAAGCAGCCATCTTGTTCTACTGTACCTACACAGTAGGACGGCCACATCTCTTGTTTCTTCAGACTTGCACTGGCTGGATGTGGCCAGTCATGGAGGAATGACACCTGAAGACCAGCACGAACTTAATTTGCTTCCTTTTTTTAATTTTTTCTTTCCCTCTCTAGGATTACACCCTCACGATGTATTTCCAACAATACTGGAGAGACAAGAGGCTGGCCTATTCTGGAATCCCCCTCAACCTCACGCTGGACAATCGGGTGGCTGACCAGCTGTGGGTGCCTGACACGTATTTCTTGAATGACAAGAAGTCCTTTGTCCATGGTGTGACTGTGAAAAACCGCATGATCCGGCTCCACCCAGATGGGACGGTACTGTATGGGCTCAGGTCTGTCTGCCTCTTTGGGGCCAATTTTTGTACTTGCATGGTGTGTTGCCTTGAATTTCTCACTTGAGATGATTGGAAGAAGCGAGGCCATGTCCTCAGATTAATTAGGAAACATCCAAGACAACACTCTGAGCTTTGCGGGGGCAGGGAGGGGGGGGACACAGCAACAGCACCCCATCACCCAAAGATCTGAAGCGTGACTGTTACTATAAATAGCTATCAAGCCAATTGCAAAGCAGCTTCCTTGGCTGAATGGTACATAATTGGGTTACCCTCTCTGAAAGCACAGAGTCTCTTAGGATGGACTTCCCATATGATCGCCACAGAGACTCATAATTAATATTGTCCTGACACTGCAGAGGCTTTTAATAAAGTTTTTTTTCCTCTCTCTCTCTCCCAAAGCTATTTGGAAAGGCAGAGAAGAGGAGGGGAGGGGGAATGTCTGCTGTGCAGATTATAAGATACAGTCTCCATGGAGCTTTCTTGAGGTGGTGTGGTGAATATTTATGGGAATGACTAAGTGAGAGGTTTTCTGATGAGAAACAGCTTTCTCCAGGTCCTTCTAATGCAATCACTCAAATCAGAAAACCGGGCTGCCTTTCTGAGCCAGGAGGAGGAGGAGGCCCTAGGATTTTCTGGTTGCTCTGGAAATCACGAGACCTTCTCAGGAAGGTTTCATCATTTTAAGCGGTTCATTATTTTGCATATTACTCTGCTGAATGATGCTCTTAAAAACCTTCTGTCTCTTGCATTGGCTTTGCACTGCATATTTTTAGGGAGGGGAAGGGGAGGTTGGTTTCTAAATAGGGTTGTGTGTATGTGTGTGTGTGGTGAGACAGAAAAACCGAGAGACAGAGACACACAGAGAGACAGAAACAGAAAGAGAGACAGAGATAGAAAGGCATGCAGAGACATACAGGGAGACAGTGATAGAGATAGACACACAGAGACAATTAGAGAGACAGTGATAGAGGCAAAGAGAGACAGACACACAGACAGAGAACTAGAAACAGAGATAGAGAGACACAGAGAATCAGAGGCAGAGACAGAATGTGTGTCTCTATCTGCTTATCTCTATTTTCTGGCCTAAAAATCCACCTCCCCAATCCCAGGCCTTCTAGGAGTGACTCACAGTTTTTTGTAGGACTTGAACTCTGGGCCTGGGCACTGTCCCTCAGCTTTTCAGCTCAAGGCTAGCACTCTACTACTTGAGCCACAGTGCCACTTCCAGTTTTCTGGTGGTTAATTGAAGATAAGAGTCTCACAGACTTTCCTGTCTGGGCTGGCTTTGAACTGTGATCCTCAGATCTCAGCCTCCTGAGTAGCTAGGATTACAGGCATGAGCCACCAGTGCCCAGCTTGACCCACAGTTTTTAATGGAACACACATGAATACTTTGAAGAAAAGAGTTATTGCAAACTGTTCTGGAATTCAGAGCCTTCTTCAGAAAACTCCAGTGGCGGGGCTGGGAAGGTGGCTCAGTGGTAGAGCGCTTGCCTTGCATGCTCAAGGCCCTGGGTTCGATTCCTCAGCACCACATAAGCAAAAAGAAAAAGCCGGAAGTGGTGCTGTGGCTCAAGTGGTAGAGTGCTAGCCTTGAGCTGAAGAGCTGAGGGACAGCGCCCAGGCCCAGAGTTCAGGCCCCACAACCGGACCCCCCAAAAAAAAAAAAAGAAAGAAAACTCCAGTGGCTAAAGCTGGGACCATACCCATAAACCTTGAAGGCTCATCACTGTGTCCTTGTGGTCTTCCCAGATACAAGATGAAGGAAGGACCGATGCAACATTGCCTTAAACTATCAATGTTGGGTGAAGCTGGGCATTAGGGACTCACCTATAATCCTAGCTACTCAGGAGGCCGAGATGAGGATCATGGTTCAAAGCCAGCCTAGGCAGGAAAGTCTGTGAGACTCTTATCTCCAATAAACCACCAGAAAACCAGAAGAGGCGCTGTGGCTCAAGTGGTAGAGCGCTAGCCTTAAGCTGAAGAGCTGAGGGACAGAGCCCAGGTCCAGAGTTCAAGCCCCATGACAGTCAAAAAAAAAAAAAGAAGGAAAGAAAGAAAGAAAATGCTGGGTGACTTTTGAAACCACAGCATGAGTGGGAATTTTGTACAAGGTGAGAAAAAATAGCACATGTCAATCTGATCCTGGTTTTACTGCCAAGAGTCTAGCCTAAAGTTTCTTTGGGAGGTTTTTGGCAGTTAGTATTTTTTTGTGGTTGTTCCAAAATGAGAAGAAATGTACTGGTGAAGGTGTAGAGGTTCTCACAAGTACATCAGTGGTCCAAAAACATATCCCGAATTCTTGTGACCATAGGAAGAGTTAGTTATCTGCCCTTCACCTCCCCACAAAAACTGGAAATAAAAGAGACCACTGTGGGTGCATGTGTAAGTTTGTGTGTATTCATGCACTTGGTACACATGTGCATGTTGGGGGGGAGGAGGCAGGACTAGAAGCTAATGTCAACTAAAAGTGAATCTCTGACATTGTACTTTTTAAGCCACACTTATTGGGGTTCTCTCCAGTTTTTACTTTTGCATTCTTCATTTTCTTAACAGAGTCAGAATCTGTCCATATGTCTTTGTTAAGAGCAAAGAGCCTTAACTCTTTGGTGATTACAGGTATATAATATGTATGAAAGTACTGTAATGCATTTCAAAATTCTGTTTGAAACTGCTGAATTTAGTAATCCCAAACAGGTAAGAGATAGATAGATAGATCTATAGAGATATCTACAAGTAGATATCTATAGATCTATAGAGATATCTACAAGTAGATATCTCTCTCTATAAAAGACAGAGATATCTACATATATCTAGATATCTTTACATATAAACATTTATAAATATATAGAGATCTATCTATAGATTTATAAGTATATATTTGTATCTATACAAATATAGATCTATAGATTTTATAGATCTATCTAGATAGATATCTTTATACATTTATATATAAAGATACCTATAAATATTATATATAAATATCTTTATGTATTTATAGATATGTGTAAAATAAAGAAAATTAAATTATGTCTTTGTCAGACAGTTCGCCTGTAAGTTTATATGCGAAAGCTAAATAATTCTGTAATAGGAAGTTATGGGAAAGTTTTTAATTTAAAAAAACAACTTTGTATAATGGCCTAAGAAATAATCATTCTAGTCAAATTTACATCTATTAGGCCTAGTTAGGAGCCCCTTAAATAAAGGTCTAAATATATGCCTTTTCATCTCTATATGCTCCTGAGATTTTTATTTGGGGTGCCACATTTCTGTAAGAATGCTTCTTCAGAGTTATGTGAACTTGGACAAAGTGTCATGAAGAAAATCTCTAGCCAGGTACCACTGGCTCAGGCTTGTAATCCTAGCTACTCAGGAGACTGAGATCTGAAGATCAAGAGTCAATGCCATTTTATATCTAGACAGAGATAGAGAGCTAAAATGAAATATAACATATGTACGTATGTATATGCGTATATCTCATATATATATATGTGTGTGTGTATATATATGTGTGTGTGTGTGTGTGTGTGTGTGTGTGTGTGTGGCCAGCACCTGTAACCCCAACTATGCTGGCTATTTTTGGCAAATTAGCACAGATACACATGAACTCCCATTAAAAACCCATCAGGGTTTTCAAGCACACATATGTGGGAAATACCAGAGCTCAGACACATCCTTACTGCCCAGTGGCCCTTAGTTTCCCCTTGGGGTGGGATGGAGAGGTAGACCAGAAGGTACAGCTCTACGATGATGCCCAGCATTTCACAATCACAGTTTGCAGCTGGGGAAAGATGAAAACTCAAAACTGGAAGTATAGTTTCTAACTAAAGGCATATTATGTTTGCACCGTGGTAAAAATTTTAAAAAGCGGTAGGTCAAGCCAGGTGCCGTGGCTCACACCTGTAACCTTAGCTACTCAGGAGGCTAAGATTTAAGGATCAAGGTTCAAAGCCAGCCTGGGCAGGAAAACCCATGAGACTCTTACATTGAGTTACTCAGCAAAACATCAGAAGTGGAAGTGTGGCTCAAGTGGCAGAGTGCCAGCCTTGAGCAGAAAAAGTCAAGGGATAGTCGGGATAGTCCAAGGGCCTGAGTTCAAGCTTCAGAATAGACAGACAAAGGGGGAGAGGGGGAGGAGAAGGGGAAAGGGAGAAGGAGGGAGAGAGAGAGAGAGAGAGAGAGAGAGTGAGAGAGAGAGAACTGAGCCATGTGCTATTAGTTGCCTAACACCTGCAATCTTAGCTACTCTGGAGGCTGAGATCTGAGGATCACAGTTCCAGGCTAGCCCAAGCAGGCAAGTCCATAAGACTCTTAACTCCAATAAACCACCAAAAAAAAAAAAAGAAAAGAAAAGAAAAGCTGGAAGTGGAGCTGCAGTTCATAGAGGTAGAACACTAATCTTGAGTAAAAAAAGTCAGGGACAGCTTGCAGGCCCTGAGTTCAAGCCCCAGGACCAGCGCGTGCACGCGCACACACACACACACACACACACACACACACACACACACACACACACATACTGTAGATCAGACCTGGAGGAGAGACACAGCAGAGCAGAATGGAAGTCCCCAGGTAGAAACCTTCAGATACTGCTTGATGCAGCTACTTCTACCTTGCTAGGATGTTCCTCATAAGATCCCACCTAGCTCGGCCTGCTTTCCTCCTGGCTTTGTGCTAACTTGAACTGCACTGGTGGTGTTTCTGAGGCCTGAAAGGTGAGATCTTCTTATCCCTGGACATGGAGCTTGTCCTTCTCCCTGCCCTCCAGGCTAGCCCCACACTGGGGGAACCAATCACCGCGTTTGCAGCTCCAGGCTCCTTTTCCTACAGGTGCAATCCAGAAGGCCTTTGCCTTATCTGGGAAGAGATGGAGATGGTTGACCGTGGACGAGCCGTCTGTGACGTAGGCTCGTGCGTCACCTCAGCCTTATTCTGGGAAACCATTGATCTTTAACTCTGATGACTGCAAAAAAAAAAAAAAAAAAGCCATCCAGGAC